GGGGGCAGGAAGTAAATGGAGCTCTGTTTCCTTCTGTTGACTCAGCATCAGTGTCTAAATTCTGTGCCGTGTGTGGTTGTGGCAACCGCTCCAATCAGGAGAAATATGAAAGTTTTTTTTTTCATGTTTCGAAAGTTGCGTCACAAGTTAATTTTAAAAAGCTTACCAAAAAATGACAAAAGTGGATCAACGATCTACGGCTAAAAACAGGAGGTGAGGAAACGAACAGTCAGAGTTTGCAACGACCACTTTCTAACAGGTCAGGATCATTTAAATCCTATTTTCAGATATTTTATTGGACCGTTACTGGAATCTGTGTTTACAGAAGCTAAATAAATTATTTACAAGTAGATCCGAGCACATAGAAATAATAGGTTAACTCGTTAGCGTTAGCTTTGTTATCATAGGCTAATTATGTACAACAGCAGAAGTCACTGCTGACTGACCTGGGCAGAAACAAGTCGAAAGACATTTAAAGCTTCTTTGGATCCTAAAAGTTTGACCCAACCTGAAACTAAATAATTGTAGCTTTGAGGATTTTGAAACTTTTATCTGGCTCCTCGTATAATACGAGCTCTGCAGCACCAGGTAGTTTATGTTGATCGCCTCGATGCGGGTAAATCCTCCAGATTATATGATGAGTCGTTTTATTAAGACATTATGGATCAGATCCTAAATGTACACAGATTCGTTTGCGATATCTCATCTGCACCAACTCATTTAGGGCATTAGCGTACTCATTGTGACCCATTTCGCTGAGTTTTGAACCGGAGCAAATCACTTCCTGCCCCCAATCTCAATTTCGTGCCTCATTCAGGTCATGTGACTGAAACCCAGCAATTTGAGCATGGATGTTTAAGACAGATCTGCCTGTGACCCATGTGCACACCACCAAAAATTACTCAAAATCATACTTTATAACATAATATTCAATTGCTTTATGTTTCTCTCCCAAAAAACTGCTTCAGTAAACGAGATAAAACGTGGAAACAGCACATTTTTAACTGCTCTGCTCGAGGAACCCAGGTTCTGTGAAACGACTTCAACTTCATTTTCAAGGATTTTATATTCACCTTCCAGCTGATCAGAGTTCATAAATCTGCCAATAAATAAGGCGAGGAGACGCCAGAGCTTCACTCCAACAAGCAAACAGCTATCCATCAAAAAAAGGAATCAAAGTGAACCTTGACTCATCCTCCACTTTCAGCCTCTCCCAGACGAAGCCACGTATTCAAGGTCTGGGACATATTGGACATATTGGACATACTGGACAGGTGGGAGGACAAACAGGCAGGTAGAGGACCTCCGTGGCTCTGACGCATGTTCAGGCTTTTTTCTTCACGTCAAATGTTTAACTCTAACAATAAATAAAATATTCACTAAATTTTATTAGAAAAGCAATCAAGTTTGCTTAATGACTACAAATATATCCTTTTATTGACTTTTACTGTTACCACATTAGCTGTGTGGAATCAGAAATCTAARGAACTGTGCATACAGAAGAAAACTATTAACAAATTGGTAATACAAACACCTTTACAAAGACTTTTTTTATTTTAAATATCCGATTTCTAAAAGACTCACAAAACAAACTTTTATTGTTTCTGGAAGCATTTAAGATGGAACTGTTTAACCTCTGAGAATTTTCAGACATTTTTCTTTTTATTTAGGTCCAACAACCTCAAGAGCAAAGAATAATATTTAAAAAAATGATGTTCCTGCTTTAATTTTCAATAAACAAAACATCTAACATTAATCACTCATATGATATAATTATAATGCAATGATTTTTCAGTCCAAGCTAGGATTAAAGCTAAATATTGCTCCATAAAGGTCAATTTGATTATTTTATGTTTTTTATTTTTGGCTTAAAGTTCCCAAAAAAATTCATCTAATGCAATATTTTCAGTGATTTTCTTCCTCGTCACTCTAAGGCAGACGGGTTCTAAATGTTAAAAGCAGACAGCAGCTTTTAAGTCGTCAGCCACTGTTTATTTCAGCAGAAGTTCGTCACCTTCAGACACAGTTTTCATTTCATTTCCTGAGCATCACTGAGTGCTTTCATGTCAAGGCCTCGCTGCTGTCAGCTCATCAGAAACACAATCCTGGAGCATTTCAGGCTGCAGGGACGCAGGAAGCCAGCGGGACCGAGTCCAAACAAACAACAGAGTGTGAGGAACCTGTGCCGTCCCGCCCCAGCAGAGCAGAGGGGGTCCTGTGTGTCTGCCCGTCCGTTATCTACAGAGCCGGACCCCCGACAGAACCAGCATGAAAACACACCGGCCTCTGCCAGAACGGTTAGTCGTGACGCCACCTCGACAAACACGGAGAGGTGAAAATCAGATTGTGAGGCCGCAGCGGGCCGGCTCCACCACTTTATTCATCTTCTAAACAAAAACGATGGAAATGATCCATCACACTGCGGTGGCTTGAAGGCAGGCTGAGCCTTCAGAGTTATGCAGAAAATGTTAGAATGTGCAGGTGAGTTTCTTCAGTAAGTCTTAAAAAATGCCTCCAAAACACAACTCATGAGTAATGTTTCCAAACAGCAGCAACCTGCAGAACCGGGTGAAACTTATATTTGAAAAGCTATCACATTAAATCTTGTCCAGGGTGTATTTACCTGCAGCGTGACTTTGGAGCTCATGAATTAATAATTATTTTTTAATTTATGTAAATAAAAATGAATCAAAAGCCTATAAAGGAAAAACCAGGTGATAAAATAAAAACTGCTAAAAGTACTTGATTAGCTCACGAGAAGCAGAAACTCACCTGTATTTTACACACTTTAACACCAAATACACAAAGTTCACACCAACAAACTTCAAAAAGTGAAAGCGAGCCCACCCAGCTGCTTTCAGTAGGCTCTTCCACACTTTTATTAGATCCTGTTTACACGACTATTTTCTCTGAAAACAGTGTTGTTTTTTTAGTTTATTGGGGCAAATAAAGCAAGAATAAACAAATAAATAAATTATGTTTAAATGGATCTGGCAGGGATGGTAGATGGGACATGATAAACTCATGTTCTAAACCGTTAAAATGATTGTATTTGGACCCAACTGTTATATGTGAGTGAGGGTGTTTGGTGAAAATGTGCACAGAAAGGTAGATTGCAGTGATATTGCACATTGCATTTTAGTTGATGTTGATTGGTTGAACCTGGACTGTTGTGTTCTGTTTTCTTGATTTGTGTGTAATCTATGTGTTGATACGTGGACATGCTGCAGATTAATTTCCCACTGGGGGACAATAAAATTTCCATTAAACTGCCGTTTAAGACCAGCGGGGCTTTTCCACACCTCCTCAGGGGGGTGCTCCTAAAATCTCCACTTTGAAACCTGGATTATGAAAAGCTCCAGTTTCAGAGAGAACGAGGGCCGGTGTCGTGTCAAGATCATACAAAGCGCAGCAGAAAACTTTCAGTTTCACACCAAACCTCTGTTGTGTAAACTAACAATAACAGTACGACTATAAACCCCTTGTTCTTCACTTTGCTTCGTAACGAGGGTCTGGACTCTCGGCTAATGAGAAATGACTTCTTGCTGGAGGCGTGGCCTCTGATGAAGTTTAAAACGATCGGATCCGATTTATCCAAATCGCTAACGTCTGTCCGTGACGTAGGTAAAGCGCCAGCTCGACCGTGAAGGAAGTTAAGCTAAGAAGCTAACAGGAAACTGTGTGCGCTGGAAACAACCATCCCCTACTGGAACTAAAAAAGAAGTACCGAGCCGAAGCAGGTGGCTGTAAAATGATGCTGCAGGCTTTGTCACACAAATTTTATTTAATTTTGAAGTCTTGTCAACACGGACTGGATTCACTGTTAAACTACAGGCAGATTAAAGCAGTGCAGAAAATCGACATCATCATTCACAACTACTCCATCTGTTCACTGACTGGGCCAGTTGAAATTCTACCGGAGAATTCCTTGTCGATGGAAAAAAAGCCCAGACGGAGCAGAGAAGGGAGATTAGAAGCGAGCGGCATTGTGCAGGAAGGCCAGGCGAGGATTCAGGTACCTTCATGGCGTCTCGAGGTGACTCTGAGTCAGTCACCAAATAACGAAGAAATTCAACTGCATCGTAGTTTAGAATCAGAAAGAATGAATAGCTATGATTACATGCGCAATTTTTTTTGATCAGATTGAAATGTATTCGGATTAAGTAATCGGAATGTGTGGTTTACATGGACACAATCTGATCATGGCGAGTGTTTACGTGCACAGGACTTTATTCAGAATAGAAGCACTGACATGTGCAGTTGATAACTTTCCCTAAAAAACACAGAAAATGGACCTGCGACAGGTTTTAATAATGGTGGAGATGTTACTGCACTCTCTGGTTGAGCTGCAGGGGACGTGTGGCGGACTTATTTTATTTCTTAATTTTTTTGCGAAGCGGCGCAGGCTGTGTGTCTTCCTTCTTTGTTGAATGAGAAAACAGAAGGAAAGTTCTGTGCTGCTGGAAACTACAGCACTTCTGTCCTCTCCACAAAAGAGCAGAAAGAGCTGGATGAAAGTCAGCAGACATGAACAGTCAGGTCAGTTTTCCACAATCAGAATAAAATGATCAGATTAAGTGTTTACATGTACGCTGTTCGGATTATCAACTAGCATAAACCACCTCTCTCATTTCGATTACAAATTCATTCGGATCGAGCTGAATCGGATCAGAATAATTCGAATGGGGTGTTTACGTGACACATTTTTATTCCGAATGGCTGTTTAATCTGATTATTTATGTCCATGTAAACGTAATTTAATTACTTAAAATGAAGTTAACCTTCACCACACATTCTTGTTCTAAGAATTGATCCTGTCTGTTTTATTCTTTGTCTGTAGACAGACTGGTTTCTCAAGTCATCTGTACGACCCAACAAAAACCAAGAAGAATTGTTTCAAATGTGACAAAAACTCCAGAAGCAGAAACAAATAATGCAGAGGAAGCTGCGTCGTGCCACTTCCTGGTTCTGAAAACAAAGCCTCGCTGTCATCTTGTTACCTGACTTGTGGCGGTGATGGTGGTGGTGGCGGAGGTGGTGCTGGGAGGAGATGTGAACGTGCTGTGCCAGAACGTCGGCCAGCCTGCCGCCGGCCGCCCCGCTGCCCCCGCTGCGTGTGGAGGAGGAGGAAGAGGAGGCCGTGGATGAGGTGGTGGTGGTGGAGGAGGTGCCGTGGATGGCCCGGCTGATCCAGTGCTCCATCACGATGCTCCCCTCCCGGCTGGACGGGGTTCCTCCGCCACCTCCGCCATCCTCCTCTTCGCCGTCTCCGCCCACTTCCTCGTCGCCTCCTCCCTGCTCCTCGCCGTCCGAGTCAGAGGACGTGTCTGGGGAGGAACACGAGGATGAACTTTTATTCATCAGCCTGTTTCCTGTTTAAACTCAAAGTTCAGAACGAAGGTGTGCTGGTTTCTAAAGGCTAAAGGCTGAGTGTGTGTTTGTGCGCATGGATGTGTTTTGGTGTGTTTTGCAAGTGATTTTCATAATGTCCACAGCACTGACCCACTTCTGTCTCACTCACACAAACACACATGCTCAGCTGGTGTGTGAGGTCTTCTCTAAGCAACAACAACAAAAAAACACGTTTATCCCAGAATTTAGTGGGTTCAGGTTATTATAGTTCAGATGAAAAATTAACGACCATCAATTAAAATCTGCGTCTCAATGGGTTGAACACACAAAACACCAAATATATACAGTATTTTTATATACTGTCATTTGGAAACACAGATTTGGTACTTTTACCATTTTACCAAAGGTTAACCCATAAACAAACGGTGCCACCACTAAAAAACAGTTAATAAAGTCCATTTCTGTAGCTATAATCCTCCTTTATTTCCCAGATCTTTTGAGAAATATGATCCAAAAAGGATTGCACATCTTTTGCTCTTAAAAGAGACACATGATGCTTTTAAATCCTCATTTTTCACATTTAAATCCTTCAGTTTGGGCCTATATAAAGTAGAACTGCAATGCTTTGGTCTGAATTCCTCCTTATTGTAACTCCATAAGCCCCGCCCCTTTTCTGAGGCGTGTCTCAGATCAACTCATTTGGAGACTTTCTTTAAATCCAAACTGTTCAAACCCCGCCCCCTTCCAGCTTCCAGGCTGGCCTGCTCTGGTTTACGGCTATTTAGTGGAACAAAAATTTTATTTACAAATTAATTAAAAGATGTGAACAAGCGAAGTCTTACATGTTGGACCCAGAGTCTGACCCAGAACCAGAGGAGAATGAAGACCACCACATTGTAGCTGGTAAGTCCAGACATTAATTAGAAGTTCCACGATAAATAATTTGACGTAATAGTTCAGAAAATGGCATAGAAAATACAAAAACTGAAAAGGCTGAAAAATATGACCCAAACAAAATATAAAAGATAACTTTGCAGCACCAAGAGAGATTAAATTAACGTCGTCTGCACTCCAATAGACTCCAAGTACACAACAAAATACATTTATGGTAAAAAAATAGATTTTGCATGTTATGTCCCCTTTAACCTCAAGGTCCTATGATCATTTCATCTCTAAATGTCCAAATTGGGGATTGAAGTGAGGACAATGAACACAAACAGCTTACAGTCCTGGGATGTCTTCAGAGGGTTTGTCCACATGGTATAGTTAAAAGTGTGAGGTGGGTAAAATAAACCTAAATAAACTTAAAGAAAGAGAAAACCTTTGGGTGTTTGCTCGGTATATTTTGCAAGAAAATATTAATAACGTTGCTAAAATAAAAGCAGACTTGTGTCAAAAGTGTTAAATAGCCAGAATAACATATAAATGTATATATGGATAGATTTAGCACCAATGCGTCCATTTCATGGAAAATATTTGTCCAACGAAAACCCTCAGCTTTGAATTGAATGATTCTCTTTCTGTTTTTCTGTGTTTTAATGAAGGAAACTAAATGACCTTGACATTTGTCATCCAGCTGACATTTACACTTTAAACTGTCATGGGGCAGGACTCAGTCTAAACACGTCAACTCCCAGAGTGCTTTGTTGATGCGCCTGATTGGAAAATCTGTCTCTCATTGTCAGCAGGAACCCAGTGAGGCTCCAGCGACTAAACACAAACATGWTTTGGAAAATAAGATTTTGCTTGGCAACTCTGAACGTCAGGAAATAAACATGTCAACATATCGCTGACGCAAAGCGGTTCTTCATTACTGTGTTTCATGATGCAGGGAGAAATTGGGAAAAACGAAGCTTTGAAATCACTCAAAACCCATTAAGAGCACATCAGAGCATTTTTTTTTTACTTTGTCCCTGCAGGATACGACACAAAACCACAGCTGTCCTGAACCGAACCTCTCTTAAATATATGTGAGTGTACGACAGGAATTGTACAGTTATAAACGTCACATGTTCATTTTTGGGAACTTACAGGTTTTGTGCTGAAATAATCAGAGATCATATTGAAATGTTGCAGGCAAGTTAGATGATTCAGCTTTTGACCTACAAAATAACTGGTAGAGATTTGGAACCATAACCATTTCTGATTGGTAATAAAGTAGTAAACAAAAAAGTTTTATAGCAGGGGTGCTCTGATAAATTGGCTGGCTAATTTATTGGCACACATTGCCTTAATTTTGGGAGTTCGGCCAATACTTAGATAAGATCTACCTCCACAAAGATCTGAAAATCAGCCACTGTCACTACTTAATGTCCAGTTAAAACAAGTTTATTGTTTCAAGGGTATTGTTCAATGTTTTTCAGTAAAATAAGATTGGAACATTGAAGGAAGTGGTGCACCAGTTGCAGCTTCTGGCCGATCACCAATCTTTAAGTCTGAACTATCGATTCCCGTTTTGGCCAACACAGGTTTTTTTTTTAAATAACTGACACTGTCAGGTGTTATACTGTCACATTACACTTGATAAATTGTCTGGCTGATTTATTGGCACAGATTTCCTTAACTTTGGGCGATCCAAATTCGGCTGATACTTGGATAAGATGGATGGAAATGATCATCTTCCCTTCTACGTCCACAAAGTTCTGAAAATCAGCTTCTGACACAACCTAATGTCCAGTTAAAACAAGTTTAAATTGTTTCAATGGTATTTTTTAAATGTTTTTCAGTAAAATAAGATTGGAACATTGAAGGTGTTTTATGGCAGTAATTTTTAAAAAATCTGTATCGGCCAAAATGGGAATCAGAAGGTCTGACTTCTTAAAGATTGATGATCGGCCAGAAAACGGCAATCGGTGCACCCTATATATACTAACAAACAATCTATAAACCAGTTTATGACTCTTGCTTTTATTTTTGGTAAACACTTGTGCAAAAATCATATTATTAAGATGTTATAATGCATTATTTGAACTCTGAACATCATCTCAGGACCTCTAAGTTGGTGTTTTATGATCCACAGTGAAGTCTTGCCACCAACTTTAAAACTTACTGCATTATGTGATTGCTTCTAGCTGTAACAGTACTCATTAATAAGTATACAAAGCGGTTTGGATATAGAATTAGTCTCCTTGTAACCAAATTCCGGTCAGCCACCATTTATCATCAGTATTATCCCAATATTGGGCTGAGTTTTTCCCCTTTTTTTACCATTTCCTAACAATACATGAGCTCATGGATCAGAGTTAATCCTCTGAACACCTGGCTAAAAACCATTGTGTCCAAAGCTTGATAAATGGTTTCTTTTCTGAGCTACAGGGGTCTATTGTTGTCGAAAAATAGCTAAAAAGACATCAGCGAGTCACAGTGTTGCACTCGGTCAAATAATTATTTATTACGAAAAACAAAAAGTTATACTCCTGATCTTTTAAATACTCACAAGACAAAACATGTATTGGTAAATGTAAATGGCTTGAACTTATATAGCACTTGCTCAATCCCCACAAACTCCAAAGCACTTTACTCTTCAATCATTCACCCATCCATCAGCCCAACATTAAATAGTCATAAAGTTTACWGCGTTTAGGTACTTAGTTTCTTACCTGGTGGTGTGTAGGCATCCATGGATGTTTGGACCACAAGAGACCGCCGCTTTGAAGGCATCGGCACCGCCATCTTCTTTTCTTTATGCTTTGCCAGAGCGGCCTGCACCGCCTCGGTGTGCACGTCTGGAGACACAAACAGTTTAACAGGTTTGGAAGGATTTTAACTCTCAGGCTTTTCCCCCCACAGTATTAACAAAACATAATGTCACTAAAGTAATTTGGGGTTAAAAATGTGTGCATGTTGWGTCTGATCTGCGTTTGGATCTAAATGTCCACCTGTTAAATTCGGAGGACCAAAGCTGCTCAAATGTCCACAACAAAACCTAATAAATGAATTAGACTGGGTCTACTCAGCCTGAGCGTGAAGCAGAAAAGCAGAAAATCAGCAGCAGGACTATTAGCTGACCTTTGTGTTGCTGTGTTTTATTACACCGAGCACCATGTTCCCATTTACTCACACCCAGTTTACGAACACAACCATCCCCAGGTTGACAGCAGCTCCCAGGAGGCCATGTGGTTTCCAACTGGATTAAAGTCGGGGAGCGTCGACGAGGACGTTTTGTAAATGAGTGTTTCACCAAGCGAGATAAAGCGCTGAGATTGGACCACAGCTGGGTTTGTTTGAGTGGTGCTTATTGCCAGCAGAAAGTAAATACAATGGCAGGTTGTTGGCCCAATGATGACATAAGTAAGACATTAGTCGGGATGAATGGGGCACTTAGACGCACGTTTATTCGGCACGTGTGTGGAAAGGAGGTAATTTAAACCTGTTGTCCTGTTGTTGACTCAGTTTCACTGCGGTGAACGTGACTGTGTGCTCCCTGCACTGTTTCCACAATGAAAGAAAAGCTTCTACTTTCAGTACATCTCAGAGTGAAACTCCCAAACAGCAACATAAATACGCAAGAGTTAAACATTCATCTTATTAATCCTTTTGAGCGACAGCAAAAGTTCAAGATTAATCCAAAATATCATTGGATTTGAACATATTTGTACTYGAATTAGTACGTGCAACTGAGATTACTTTTACCTCAATGAAAATTCTTAATCTTGTTGTAATCTTTAGTCAGCAAACATTAACAAAAATAAACTACATATTTTATTCAGTCTGAGGAAGATTAAAAGAAACGTATTTCTCCAGGTTAAACTCATCAGATTTGTTCTGCAAACAGTAAAATAAAACTAAAACAAACCCACAGAGATGATCTGTAGAGTTAGTAGTTGTTCAGGGAAGTCTTTCATTTCGTCGTGACTGTTAGAGACTAGTTGGAAACTCAAAAAGTTGCTAGAACAAAAAGGTATTTTTTACAGTGTAAGTGTTTGTAACTAAACAACCAGTGAGCCATGTTATCTTTTTTTTAAAATCTTTAAAATAATTTTAAAAATAGTACAAAAACATTATATAATAATATTTATCAGTGGGCGGTTTTTAGATCAGTATAATCAAGTTTGTATTGTTCTGATCAACTGTGATGAACAAAGCTCACAAAGGCAACAACTTATTAAGATGATCTGACAGATTTGCCTGGATAAATAGCGGTAAATAAATATAATAAAAATAAATCTTAGTGTTTTTGGTTGATGTGTATTTATAATTCATAGCAAATTCAAAAGTCTAAATAAATAAAAGAGAAATCTGAGATTTTAGTTGACAACAGAAAAACAGTTGTTTCCAAGAAGGAAAAAGCGAAAGGTCGGACAGGTGTGTCGTTACCTGATCTGTAACGTTCGTCTCTGGAGCCAGACGACCGCCGGCGGTTGTACCGGGAGGATGAGGAGGGTGTGACCGCCGTTCTTCTCTCCTGGCCCATGGCTGGATCCATTCCTGAAACAGAAGATTCAGATTCAAGCTCTAGTTTTCACAGGTTTCCAACAGTTTAAATAACTAATTATCTAAAGACGACATCAAATGATATTTAAAAAAACTCAAACTGATCCCTCTATAGTAAATTATACGGATCATAATGTTCTTCAATGTTCTTCTCTAGTCAAGTTTAGATTTTTTTAAATAGTTGCTTAAGACACTAAAAATACTTCCATTTGTCTTTGAGCTTATTAAAAGACAAAATTATTGAAAAACAAACAAATAAAATTTTTCCAATATTTTAGAAACTCTTCCACACAGGGACTAACTAACAAGACTAACTTTTTGCACTGGTTGCACCGGTGCGCCTAACATTTTTTCTCAGGTGCACCAGCACAAAAGTTAGGTGTACCCAAATTTTCAACTGCGTCGCATTTAACATCAGAGTTTTACAYGTTATTTTTTTAATCACTGTTCATTAAGGCAATAGTAACTCYAAAATAATTAGTTAACAATCTACGTAAAGTTCTTTATTTGAACCAGAATTGTACAGGATATTTAACTTACTGAAAAGTATTAAAGTGATTCTATAAAATTCTAAGTGCAAATGTTTAAGATCTGAACATCTTATAAACATCTTAAACATTTCATGGTTAAATTTTTTGAGACACCTGCCCCTCAGATGGACAACTCCTGTAGTTTGGCCCTATGATCTTTGGCCTTGGATAAACCAGAACYATGAACAGAGAATAATGATTAATAACAGAAATATTACTGATATTTATTAAAAGGTTGTGCAGATTTAAAAAATATATAATAATATAATAGAACACATAAAAGCCTGCAATTTCATTAGCATTAGTTGAATCTTATTATCTTATATTATTTCACTTAAATACTGTATCTAATATGTCTAGTTTTAGCCTCCTGAGACCCAGAAYAACCTATTTCAGATACTTGGAATGCAACTGTGGTGAAACCGATTAAGTGTAACAGCAGCCTGCCATATCGGTGAGCTTCCGCATGCTGCTGAAATGATCTGCAGCGCTCAGACCCCGACTGTTAATTTAACAAGATGGACTTAAGAGTGAGCAACCGTCCACATCTTTTTTCATCTCCACAGTTAATAAAAAAAAAAGTTTTGCAGACTCCGATCTGGGTAAAAAAAAAAAATAAAAAATAAAAAAATACAGTTGTTTTGCTAAGCGTGTGCGCATATGCGTGTGTGAACAAGTTTTTGCTTCATCATGGTACATTTATTGACCATTTCCCTGGTAAACACAGCCTGGTGAGGTTAGGGTTTGGGTCAGGTGTGTAGCCTACCTGGGAGGTTATGGTTGAACCAGTGTGACCGGACATGTTTTTTAATTGTACTATTAGGAAATCAGGTAGCATTTGCGACCAAATTGGTCGCACTCTAGAGCCCTGCCACATTTTCTGGGAATGAGATTTGTAAAACGGAGAACAWGCGCTTGAGTGCAATCAAGCCCCTTGAAGAAGACCCTCCTCTTACTCAAAAACTGATTTAAAAAAACTATCAGGTCTGAATCAATCCACTAAAAGTCCTTCATAAACTTGAGGTAATCCTGGAAAAAGCAGACTCTTTGAACTAATTTGGCACAATCCAATTGGTTCTGATTAGGACAAAAAGTAAAGGATTTGTGGAATGAACCATCAAGGCTGCCTCGTGTTCCTCGTTATATCAGACAATAAAAACCTCCTCATAACAGCTAAAGACAACAAARATGGTGACTCAAACTATGTATTCAGAGCCATCTAAAACCTGAAAGGAATGCAACACATCCAGGAAAATTTCTGACAGATTTATTACAACTGTTTGTTTTTGGAACGGCTTATTTGGAACACAATTAATCATACAGCTCAGTGACGTCACCAAGTCTGTTTTTCCAACAARGGTGAGCAATTTGCCAAGTTGTTCCTACAGTAATGTGCACTTAGCCTAGCTTTAGTACCAACAGTTGACGAGTAGATAAACTAGGACCATGACACTAAACTAAAGATTATGTTCTGAGGTTGGAATCTGTACCTCGCACCAAACGTCCTTTCTCTGACRTCCTCCAACCCTCGGAGCAGGACACCAGGACATCGCTCTTTAGGACAGAGGAACATTTAGTGGGTATTTAAGCATAGATTAGTGTCTAACTTGGGTAACCCACATCAAAAAGGCAATTAATTGTTGGGCAACAAGACTAAGACTTTCCACACATCAGCCCCATAGAGGGCAARAGATGGGGGAATAGATGTCTATCATGCCTCACCAAAACAAATGTGATCTCTTGATTGAATTACAAATACACAAAATCCACAAGCTGGTAGGTTAAAATATTRATGCACGTGTTCTTTCTTGAACAAGACCTGTAAACATGCAGAAACACTCAGTCTCCGAGAGAAAAACCTTTTGCACCAATCAATAGTTCTGATGATATAACTACACTGCTACTGACATCTACGACTCCTCCACAACGGRTGATTTATGAGCATCCACCTCAGCCTCACACTTCCAAGCTCSTCTGTCTTCATTAAAAGCTCTCAGAGTGCTGCTGCTGCTCAGGAGACCAGTGGAAAGTTGATTAGCCAACAATTCAATGATTACCAGGCAGCAGAGGAGTATACGACAAGTCTGGGAAACACCTCGCTTTGAAGGGTCCTCCTGGGAGTCTGGATGGATGGTTGGATTTCCTCTTCTCCTGACTCGGTGTACCGGCTATTATTTCTTATTCCCTTTAACTTATTCAGCAAACATACCGCTTTGTTTTAGTTTATTACATTATCTGTTGTTCATTAGATACAGAAGGTTGTAAAATCTATTCTYGTGCACTTAGAAATGTTCTTTTTGTTCTTGAATGTCTACCATYAGGCCAGTTTGGCTCTGAGGGTTTGGAAACTATTTAAATCCTTAAAAAAAGTCTTGACTGACTTTCAGTTATTCATATTTTACTTCCAAAGAGCCAAACTTRACCTGTAATCCTTTAAAGTGGTCTTAACGAATACATCTCCAGGTTTTCTGAAAATCTTTGAAATATTATTTTTTGGACTTCTGTTGTTTTTTCACTGAATTTCTCTTCTGTTTTTGTACCCAATTATAGCTATGTTTACATGCGCAAAATTCTTTGATCGGATTGAAATYTATTTGGATTAAATAATTGGAATGTGTCATTTACATGCGCAKATTCCGATCATGACGAGCATTTACATGCACCAGGCTTTTATTCAGAATAGAAGCACTGACATGTACAGTATAGAATAAAATGATTGGATTAAGTGTTTATGTACACGCTGTKCAGATTATCAATTGGCATAAACCACCTCTCTCAWTCCYATTACAAATTCATTCGGATCGAGCTGAATCGGYTCAGAAWAARCKYAATGGGGTGTTTACATGACYCATTTTTATTCCGAATGGCCATTTAATCCGATTACTTATGTCCATGTAAATGTAGCTTAWGAKAGCACAAAGTACAGAGTTTATGAAACACTACAAGTGGAAGAAGTATCAGGCCTATAAATATATCTACAGCAGATTAACTATACTTTGGAGTCACCCCTTTAATAAATGGTTGGTGATAAAGAACCTAAATTTCCCATTTAAAAAGGGTTCTTTACCATGTTTTGGCAAAAATGAAAACCGTGGACATTTGGTTTTTATTGGTTTAGGTTATGATCCTCATGTTTACAGGTATGAATCTTACAAAGTGTACATGTTTTAAGGTCTTACAGGCAAAATTCCTGCGTGTCACATGCAAGACATTTTTGAAATACATATTTCAAATATCTTGGAAACATATGTAGGTACTTTGCATTGTGTAATTAAAAAATTTTTTTGAGACTCTCGAGAACAACAAAACAATCCACAATGTATTAAACATACCAAACAAAAGCTGAAATCTACTTTTCTTAAATGCAAAAGCAAATTTTATTTTATTTGAGTCTGAATACCTGGTTTGATTAAAATAAAAACACCCAACTCTCACTAAAGCATATAATTTTGTATTCTTACAAGATATAACATGGCAGCTTCGCAATAAAAGTTCATAAAATGCACTATGACTTTTCTTGACTTACTTTTTTATCATTAGAAGRAGCTTTTGTTACATTAAATTATAGTTTTACCTTGATATACTGAAAAAAAATTATCTTCTCAGTGTATGAAAAGAAAACTAGCTTGTTTATCATGAGATGACAAAAAAATCAACTTGTAATCTTAAAAAACAGTTCTGTTACACCAAGAAGCAAAATACAATCAAAAKCCATTTCAAACTAACAGAAAACAAAAGGTGCAATATTATTTATAACAGTAACATAGAACAGCAAAGAGGCAAGAAAAACAATGTGCATTGTGTCTTTTGTTAATCTGAAAAAATCCAAAAGTAGTTTTCAATTCAAAGCCCTCACAGCAGCAGACGGTTCAAAGCTGCTTTCCCAGTTTGGAGACACTCTGCTGGTGGTGCTGCATAATTCAAGGTTGGTAGTTGTTCCCAGATCAAAGACAATGAAGAAAAGACTAACAAAGGTCTAAATTATGCATCAGAAAAGTTCACACTACAGTAAATACCAGCCTGCTCTGAATAAGAAAGGAACAATGTTAGTGTTCTCTTAGATAAGAGAACATAAAGCCGAACTGAGTCAAAGTGGAAAAAAAGTGGAGTCATCTCTGCTGGAAGTTAAACGATCTTTGAGAGTCGGGTCTTATCAGTTATGAATTTGCATGTTTTACATGTTTAGAGTTAAACACAGCAGCAGATGGAATGACAGGCAGCTTAGTAAACAGGTTTGGGAACCTGGGAGTCATGCAGATGTGGAAATACCTGATCTGCTGACACTGGTGTTTGATCAGTGGTACAGGTTTTAACACAAGTTCCCTCATTGGACCAAAAACAAACTGTAATGGGTCATGTTGGGGTTTACTGAAAGCAGCAACAATGTTCCTCTAAAACTCAACCCAGACTTCCCAGATTCCTCACTTGTTGAGTAGCTATGGTACAATCCAGAGAAGAGTTGATCCAATGGCACCACCAAGCAACGTACAACACAACCTGAACAAAACTTTCCTTACAGAGCAACATCAGGCTAAAGGCAAACACGTACTCCAACAACCCCCTAAAAAGATGGTGTCATCCATTCTTCTTATCTACTTATTCCTGTTTTAGGTCACCAGGAGCTCCAGTTGTTATTGAGTGAAAAGAGCAGTGAGCAGTTCAAGGAACCAGTAGTTTTGCATACAGAGACAAAAAACAAGGAATCTTTGAAAAAAAAAAAAAAAGGCTGTAGGGAGTTATGCACTCAAAATAAATAAATCTGCATTTCATTCTGAATCAAGACTTATGCCAGCATTCTGGTTTTAATGTTATGGATGAACTAGATGGTCCTCYTGGACCACAGTCCTTTATGTTTTCCTTGTTTATCTGCTCCAGCACACCTGGTTCAGTAATTTAATTACATCTTCAAATTCTGTAGAAGCCTACTAATCATCCATTCATGCAAATCAGGTGTGTTTGAGCAGGGAAACAAGAAAAACATGCAGGATAGAGARCCTTGAGGACCACAGTTTGACACCTGTGAAATGCCATAAACAGCAGCTTTTACTTTGAAGGGACAATTTGAACTAATATAGACTATAAACAGATAATCGCAGGTGCTGATCATAAATCATAACAGGCTGCTGAATTTTCCTGTCTGGCAGGAGGGGAGTAAACCTGTGGATTAATTTCAGTAAAGAAACTCGGAGATGTCGGATTGCCTTATCGCTGGATTGAGTGCAATGTGTCAAATGTTTTTCAGGTGGGGATATGGAGACCTGCAGTTCTTTGATTGGTTTCTGAAATGATCATGCGGAAAATCTCAAATCTACTTAATCCTGCAATCACAATTAATTTTATTGGATGTTCAGTGATATAACTTTTTAATTATGTTTGGGGAGTGGGGTGGGGTCTTTATGTATTTTATTATTAATTGCAAAATGTTTTATTTTATATTATTTTTATTTTTCTGTTTTTTTTTCTTATTTTTATTACTGTATGATGTTGTTTTGTTTAGATTATCTGGAGGACTACAGATGTAAACTAGCCATGGGTTAAATCTGGTGCAATGCATCAAATGTTTTTATGTTTTAATTGCACATTGTCCTAATAAATAAATTCATTCAGTCAAAGAAAATATAGTACATAAGGCATGCATGTAAACATGTTTTTGTCAGGGTGCATGCCAATAGGGGTTCGGCAGATATTAGTTTGTTTTCCGTGTCATTTGCATGTTACATGAGAGCAATGACTCATAGTTTAACCAGCTGAGCAGGTTTAAGGTGAAAGCAGGAGAAATGAGGCCAAACAAACAGGCTATAAAGACACATTTTCTGCCTTGACTGATCCTAACTATTTAAATGTAAAAAAAAAAACACTGTTAGAGTTCTGATTTGGGTTTTTATTAGATTTGTAATGCACTGAGAAAAACAGTCGTTTCTTAATTTCATTTATTACAAATGATCTACATAAACAATTTTTTAAAATATTACAGCTCACATTATTGTAAAAACTCAATGTATCAAACCAAACTCAAGCAGGTGTTACAATATTTATTAATGCAAAAAATGATTCATGGTGTTAATAAAGCAGCATTTTTTAAAATATGTGTTAATTTTTTTTACAAACAAGTGATTGCTCTATATTTAATCCCCTGTAAAAATAAGTTTCTGCAAAGAAAATGTTCTAAAGGAAAGAAATAAAATTGCATACACAAAAACATTTTGTCCCCAGTTTATGCATATTGTTAAAATAAAAAAAAATATATATGGAGATTGTAAATGTAATAAGACAGTTTTCTGGTACAAATACACATTTAAGACATGGATAACATTTTAAGAATTGCTGAGTCACCCACAAAACATTCACAAAATGTAAGTTATTATGCCTTTATCATTAGATATTGAGCATTGTTTAACAGATTAGATCAAAATATTGTTTAAGCATATCACTTCTCATGACCGTCCAGATTGTTATGGTTGGGCAATATTGGCAAAAAAAATCACGATTAATTGGGGTATTTAATAACGATTAATTTGACTATTTGATTAATTCCCTGGAGACCCTGGACACCTACATGTTCGTCACATGACCAATGTAGTGGGAAAGATTTGCTCTTCAAAAAAATCTGTTCCAAATTGTGTCAAAATTACAGACTTCAAGCTACACATCAAATTTTAAATTGTGTTGATAGATAAATAAATTACAGAACTTTTTTTTAATGTTCATCATATTTGAAGGGGAGAGGAGCATCGAGCGGACTCTGCCTGGTGGCATTAATCGTAATAATCGTCATGTGCCAAAAGATAATCGATTAATGTTTTTCTGACGTTTAATTGCACACGATACTATTATGACCAACCCTATTGATCGTCCCTGTAAAACTACAGTTTAGGTGAATTTGCACACCTTGGCAGTCGCTCCGTCTGAAACCCAGAGTCCAACATGGAGCGGCTGAGTGAAGGTGGTCTGGACTRTGTGGAGGAGAGTCATGGTGTCGCTGARGCTGTAGAAGGACAGAACTCCTGCACTGTGATCCAGGTACACTCCGACTCTGGAGGACCATATGCCGGGGATGGGAGTGTTCACCTTGTTGTGCCTGAAAGCACAGCTGTTCTTGAAACAATCCAAAGCCCAGGACTTGTTGTTTTCTCCGAACGTACAGTCAATCAAATCCCCTTTTCTGCTGATGTTCTTGTAGGCGAGCGCCACTCTAACTCCCTTCCCATTCCTCTTCACTTCCAGGTAGCAGCGGTCGTTAAAACTCTCTCGACTCAAGACCTGCCAGGAAAACGCAAACCTTTCTGGGTGCTTAGGATACGGCAACTCTTCTCCTACATACACTACATTTCTTTTCTCGTTTATTACCAGATGTGGGTTTGCCGTATTTGGATCCAACGTGATTTCTTGAGCGTACCTTAAGAAGTTAGCTCTATTCTGAAAATTGTCAAATTTGTCTCTAGAATTCGCTCTGGCCAGTAAAATGCCAGGTGAAGCCTTTACTAACTCAAAATTGTTCAAACTTAAAGTAGACTTGCTTTTGACCAGATTACTGCTGCTCTGACCAAAGTCCAAGTTTTTCTGCATGAGGTCATCTTGGTCATTTCTGTCTTGAGAATAATGTCTGCGATGTGCAGGAGTAGCAATGGCAACGGCCAAGTGTCCTCCGTTAAAATTGATATTAGCACTGCTGGTCGAAAACTTGCGCACGGAATGTTTAGGGGTTAATCCACTCAAAAAGGAGAAGTCCTGTCCATTCATTTCAGGGGTAGGTACTGTTGGTGAAACGTTTCGCCATTTTGCTTCAAAAAATTGGCTAGGATCTGCAACATCAGCACTGATGTCATCTCTGTTCTGGAAAACATTTGAACAGGGATGTGTGGGGCTGACTAGGTTCTGTAGGATTCTAGACCGCAAAAACTCGTCCGTGGTCTGTACTGGTTCACCACTGGTATTAAAAGCAGCAGCCTCTTGCTCTGCACGACCAACTGAGGGTAAACCATTAGTTCCATTTGTTGCATGAAGAATCTTTTCATACTCTTCATTCAGGACCTCATGCAGTTTATTCCTGGCCTCAGCCACAGCCAATGTAACCTTCTCAAAGTTTCTCTGACGGCAGAACATGTACTTCATTTGGTGCTTTGGCTCATCAAGATGACTCAGTGAAGGATAATTCACCACAAAGTGAATGTGGTTCTCTGTATGTGAAAGCTGGTCCAGTTGGAAATCTTTTCTGTTCAGGTCYTCGATTTCCTTCTRCACTTTGTCCCGAACTGTSGTGAAGCGARCCACCTCAGAGTTTTGTCGTGATTGGAGGCTTTCTTTAATGTGAGACAGTTTTTTCTCGATTGTATGAATGAGTTCTGAGAAAACCTTCTCGGTGTTGATAATTGCATTGTCAGCAAACTGGTTCACAGCCTCTTCTTCCTCTTGGAAACAACTCAGGTCTTTTTCTCTCTCCTGGATCTTCAGCCGGATTTGTTGCCGAACTGCTTGGAGTTCCTTCTGCCTCTCAATCCTTTCTGCTTCTATGGAGATCTTGTTGTGGCCTTTATGGCCATCCTGGGAGCAGATGTAACAGATGCAGCGCTGGTCAGTGCGGCAGAACATCTTCTTGACCTGTTGATGCTCAGGGCAGATGCTCTCCTTCAGATTTGCAGTTGCTTCCACCAACCTGTGCTTCGCCAAGCTGGGCATGTCAATGTGAGGTCGGAGATGTTCCCTGCAATATGAAATCAAACACTGCAGACAGGATTTCACAGCTTTGAACTTTCGACCAACGCAGATGTCGCAGGCTATGTCTTCAGGTCCGGCATAGCAATCGGTAACAAAAGCAGGAGTTTGGACAAAAGGCTTCCTGTCGTCTACAGAAGCTTTGAAAGAAAACGTTTTTGGTTGCACGGGAGGTGGAAGTAGACTCTTTGTCGGCTTCGATGGAGCTTGGGCTTCAGCCTTCTTCATCTCTTCCACTACAACTGCTATCATGCTATTTTTAACCAGCGGAGGTCTCTGCACAAAGATCTCCCTGCACTGAGGGCAACTGTACTTCCCCAAATGGTCCTCTTGATCCAAGTGCTTATTAATGCAGCTCATGCAGAAACAGTGACCACAAGGTACGGTCACTGGATTGCTGAGAAGATATGAGCATATCGAGCAGCAGAACTTTTCTCGTTCAAGATGAATCCCTGCCATTGCTTTCTCTGCAACGAGCCGTTACCTGACAGCTCTATCAAGAAATGACAAGGAGCTTGACTTCACCTGAACATGTACCAGTGACGGGAGGGAGAGCTTTTCCAGTTTTACTTCATTCCAGGAGGAGGAGCTTTGAACAGGAAGGCTGGTCTTAGTTCTTGTAAAGTCTTATTTAGTCATGCTGGGGTTTTAAGAGAACTGCAGGAGGATATCACCAGCATGAGTTTTTTTTTAATTAAAATTCATCCAGCTTGGAGTGAAGTGAGGTTACAATAAGATAACCAATTGAGTCAACCAGTTTGACCATCCATCAGATCTTTAAATAGCTCTAAGTGTAAGTGTCTCACTTGTATGCAAATCATCAGTAAGTGTTTTTATAGATGGAATTAGAGACAAAGGATACTGTCATATCAAGACGAAGTGGTCCAGTTACTAAGAATTAATATTTTCTTTCAAAATTTGTTGATATTAAAACCCCACACTGTCATAGTTTTGGGAAAGCCCTACTCCTATTTGGGTTTTGCACATTTAAAAAAAAGGGTTGCCCAGTTTGGTTGTGTTGTAGGGGGAGAGGGTAATTTTTATGCTATTTGGGATTAAAAACAGATTTTTCAGATTGAAATTGCTTGAGATAAAGAGAAACAAAATACTGTATTTATTCATGTATAATACTAGAAATTTAACCCTAAAAATCATCCATAAAGTGTGTGTGTGTGTGTGTGTGTGGGGGGGGGGGGGTATTTTTCCAGTATTCTTTATGACTTTAAATTAGGGGCTATGAATGTGCTCAACATCTAAAAAATGTTGGGTGGTAAACTACGTTTCAACTAGGGGTGTAAGAAAATATCGATACACTGAAATATCGCGATATTTCATTTCCCGATACTGTATCGATATTCTAAAGCCCTGTATCGATTTTTTATTAACGTTTAAAATGTCAACTTTCCTGCCAGCCGTTCATTTTTATGTTGTAGGTCAGCCTCTGACCACTAGTTGGCAGCAGTGAGCCAGCCATTTGGCTCCTCTACCTCTTGAGCGCCAGAGAGTAAGAGAGCATTAGCATTGTAAGTAAACATTAGCTTCATGCTCCGATAACTGAATCTGAGCGGAAAAGACCGACACCCTCTGCCTTCTAAGCTGAGGTAAGGTTACAAACAGTTACTTATTTGACACAATGTCTGTATTTTAAGACAAATTAAGTGTCTTGTGCGCTCATTTTTCCAACTGTAGTCAGCTTTCACGTTACGCATTTAGCGCATGCGTCTATCACCTCGAGCGAGCTCGGCACTCCCCCCGTGACATAAAACTATCTGTTGCTCTCAACGTCCGGCTGATCACATCAAAGTCCATATACTTTATCCTGCTGTGTTCACTTCAAAAACAATTTAACTCGTTTAGCTTCTCAATTTCTTACAGTAACTGGTTTTCTTCAGGACCTGCCCTGCTGTTCGACTCACAGTTCTACAAATCACGTTCTGGATGCAGGTCAGCTGATCCCAGAAACTCTGTGTGCAGCAGCTTCATATCATCTGTTTACTTAACTTTATGACAACATAAAGGCTGTTGTTAAGTGTTTGATGACCATATTGTAAATTAATATTAAAAACGAAAAGCTGCAAAAAATATATTTTCAAACTATTTATTGGCAAATTTAGTCTAATAATTGAAAACATTGATGTAATATGTATGAAACAAATAAAATAAAACACATACAAAGCAGAACACAGCTAAATGTATCAAAAGTATGTCTATGTAATATTAGAATTTTCTGAGACAATGAATTTTGGTTTTTCAGTTTTTTTCCAGTAAGAGGTTTTTATTTAATAGAATTTTTGGACCAAACATATCGCAATATATCGCCTTGTTTACAGTATCGAAATATATCGGGATGTATCGGGATATATCATATCGTGACCCCTCTGTCATGATATGTATCGTATCGCCAAATTCTTGCCAATACACATCCCTAGTTTCAACCTGATGGTCTTTATGAACAAACATGTAGATTCAAGCAGGTGATTGGCTAAAAAACAAAAGTCATGTTATAATTAAATTTCCTGAAGTCATAACACATTTTTTTCTTCATAAACATAGACAAACTTGTAATTGGGAAAGAATGCTTCACAACTGAATTCAAATGCCAAAGAAAACTCCCAAAATATAACAGAAAAATACAGAGCCGTCAAAACATGAGATCATGATGAAGGCATTTTTAAAAATTCCCCTGTTGTCGTTTTTCAAAAACGGCATCATTGCTCAGAGACAGGTGTGTGCATACCTGTCAATCCACTACGTAGTTCAGGTGAAAGATGAAGTCATTGCAATGACTGCAATGTCCAGGGTTTTTTCCACTCTGATACTGGCAAATCAATTTTCCATTAAACAGTTATCTCCAGTTATCATTGAGCTAAAGGTGAGGTAAACCAAGGACATGAGGTAAACCAAAGACAGGCCAATGTACAGACAATCATTCACACCCACTCCTAATCATTAGTGCCTGATTATGTCATGCAATAAGGCAGCAAACTAATATGACTAGCTGCTGTAAAAGATACTGCAGACTACTTGGCAAATACTATTTTTCTAGTTCAAAATAGTGTCCAAAAATTCACAAATAATAAAAGCAGTTTGAAGCCATTTGTTTATTTAAAGACATGTTTATCACCCTGGATTCATGTTTACATTCTTGAGCTCATCATCTAATCTTTTAATCAGCAAACTTTGATAACGCCAACATACAGTCGAATATGAAGAGCTGCTTTAAAACTGTTTAAAAATGTCAAATTTATGATTAGAACTTAGAACAATAGATTAAATWTGTACAGAAAAGGAATATCAGAAGCATTACTTGTGGATAAAAGACAAACAAACTGAATTTAAACAAGTTCTCATTTCTGTTTAGATTACAAATCATTTCAGAGGCTTTAAAACGTAGCGACAAAAACGTTTTGTTCCATTAATTGTAAATAAGCTGAATAAATGAGAAAAATAAATGCATTTAGAAGATTATATTTTTGAAAAAATCCCTTGAATTAATTATCTTAAACCTGCACAGGTGCTGCTTTATATGCCAAACAGGTAAATCTTAAAAAAACCTAATGTATACAGTATATATCTAATTTTTTAAAAACATTTTCTTACAGATTCTTGTAAAAATAAAGAAAAATCCAACAACCAGGTGACTGGTCTATAAAACCTAAAATAAACCATCACCACAAAAAAAATCATAACAAAAAATATTTAAAAATAAAAAATATCTTACTGCAAAAAAAAAGAAGTTATTTATTCAAGTAAATTACATCAAAAGCTTTTTTTAATCAAAGAATTAAGGCACTGTGCAAAAAAAGTCAAAATATGCACATGAATTACACAATTACATTGGTTTAAATAAAGTTTTGAATCACAGAAACAAATATAGAATAACTCYTTTCTATARATCTTGAAAAATATGAGATTTTTCAAATTTAAAAAACTGTTACTACATGGAAGTCCATATTAGAAAACAGTGCTGAATCATCAGAACAAACTGTTTATCTAATATCTAATTTAAGTGATTGGATCTTTATCAGTGCATACAGAACATTGTTTTGTTTAKATGGTATAGATTTTATCCAGATTCTAATTTTCATTTCTCATGACCGTCCACTGATCGTCCCAGTAAAACTACAGTTTAGGTGAATTTGCACACCTTGGCAGTCGCTCCATCTGAAACCCAGAGTCCAACGTGGAGCGGCTGAGTGAAGGTGGTCTGGACTTTGTGGAGGAGCGTCATAGAGTCGCTGACGCTGTAGAAGGACAGAACTCCTGCACTGTGATCCAGGTACACTCCGACTCTGGAGGACCATATGCCGGAGATGGGAGTGTTCACCTTGTCATGTTTGAACTCACAGCTGTTCTTGAAACAATCCAAAGCCCAGGACTTCTTGTTTTCGCCGAACGTACAGTCAATCAAATCCCCTTTTCTGCTGATGTTCTTGTAGGCAAGCGCCACTCTAACTCCCTTCCCATTCCTCTCCACTTCCAGATAGCAGCGGCCGGTAAAACTCTCTTGACTCAGGACCTGCCAGGAAAACGCAAACCTTTCTGGGTGCTTAGGATATGGCAGCTCTTCTCCTACATACACTACATTTCTTTTCTCACTGTTTATTACCAGATGTGGGTTTGCTGTATTTGTATCTAATGTGACTTGTTGAGCGTACTTTAGGAAGTCAGCCCTGGTCTGTGATTTAAAAGCTCTGGCCAGTATTTGCTGAGGCGAGGGTTTTGTAAAGCCACGATTCTTCAATGTGTACTGAGATGCGTGTCGTATACGATTCTCTGCGTTTTTCCTAAAGTTGTTTTGTGTTGGTATGAAGTCATCTTCGTTGTCGATATCAATTCTAGCTTGTGATATCTTCCATTTGTGAATTCCAGTGTTTGCACTTTTCGAAGAAAAGTCTRGCTTGGGAAGATTAGAGGTGGCTTCATATGGTGGAATGTTCCGTTTTTTGGGCTCGGGGGTAGCTCTGGTTTGGAAAGGTTGGGAATCTACAATTTCAACATGGCCCTGTGTGATGTCATCTCCATTCTGGAGAACATTTTGTGGAGCATGTGTGGGGCTGGTTTGGTTCTGTAGGATTCTAGACCACACAAACTCGTCAGTGGTCTGTACTGGTTCACCACTGGTAATAAAAGCAGCAGCCTCTTGCTCTGCACGACCAACTGAGGGTAAACCATTAGTTCCGTTTATTGCATGCAGAATCTTTTCATACTCTTCAATCAGGACCTCATGAAGTTTATTCCTGGCCTCAGCCACAGCCACTGTAACCTTCTCAAAGTTTCTCTGACGGCGAAACCTGTAGGTCGGTTGGTGCTTTGACTCATCAAGATGACTCAGTGAAGGATAATTCACCACAAAGTGAATGTGGTTCTCTGTATGTGAAAGCTGGTCCAGRTGGAAATCTTTTCTGTTCAGGTCGTCGATTTCCTTCTCCACTTTGTCCCGAACTGTCGTGAAGCGATCCACCTCAGAGTTTTGTCGTGACTGGAGGCTTTCTTTAATGTGAGACAGTTTTTTCTCGATTGTATGAATGAGTTCTGAGAAAACCTTCTCGGTGTTGATAATTGCATTGTCAGCAAACTGGTTCACAGCCTCTTCTTCCTCTTGGAAAAAACTCAGGTCTTTTTCTCTCTCCTGGATCTTCAGCCGGATTTGTTGCCGAACTGCTTGGAGTTCCTTCTGCCTCTCAATCCTTTCTGCTTCTATGGAGATCTTGTTGTGGCCTTTATGGCCATCCTGGGAGCAGATGTAACAGATGCAGCGCTGGTCAGTGCGGCAGAACATCTTCTTGACCTGTTGATGCTCAGGGCAGATGCTCTCCTCCAGATTTGCAGTTGCTTCCACCAACCTGTGCTTCGCCAAGCCGGGCACGTCAATGTGAGGTCGGAGATGCTCCCTGCAATATGAAATCAAACACTGCAGACAGGATTTCACAGCTTTGAACTTTCGGCCAATGCAGATGTCGCAGGCTACGTCTTCAGGTCCGGCATAGCAATCGGTAACAAAAGCAGAAGTTTGGACAAAAGGCTTCCTGTCGTCTACAGAAGCTTTGAAAGAAAACGTTTTTGGTTGCACGGGAGGTGMAAGCAGACTCTTCGTTGGCTTCGATGGAGCTTGGGCTTCAGCCTTCTTCATCTCTTCCACTACAACTGCTATCATGTTGTTTTTAACAAGCGGGGGTCTCTGCACAAAAATCTCCCTACACTGAGGGCAGCTGTAGATCCCCAAATGGTCCTCTTGATCCAAGTGCTTATTGATGCAGCTCATGCAGAAGCAGTGACCACAAGGTACGGTCAGAGGATTGCGGAGTAGATTTGAGCATATCAAGCAGCAGAACTTTTCTCGTTCAAGATGAATTCCTGCCATGGTCTCCTCTGCAACGAGCCGTTACCTGACGATCAAGTAGTGAGAAATGAGAGTTGCCGCTGAACTTCACCTACATATACAGGTGAAGGAGGAAGGGATTTTCAAAACTCCAGGAGGAGGAGTTCTTGTAAAATCTAAAATTATCACTTGGAGATTTTACAAGAATAGCAGGAGGGTTGAACACATTGAACTTACGATAAGTATGTTTCTTTTAACAAGGTTAATGAACCCAGTATTGAGTTGTGCCAAGTAAAACTCAGAAAACAGGTTCGACCAGTTTGCTGTTTGGATAACCAGAAGAGCTACATTATATAGGAATTTCCAGCAGCAGAAAAAGAAGTGAAGATTTATCAACAGTCTGTAAGCTGAAGGTCACCAAACTCGTACTTTTACCACAACTTTTACAGACTTTGAGGACAACCTTGTGGTTCTGTTTATACGAACCCTTGAGTTGCATAGTGGCARGTACACTGCCCAGCCAAAAAAATCAAGTGCGTCCACTTGGATCTAACTAAGGTCTATTATGTGGGGTTGCTGCAGTTGGTCAGGTCTAGGTTCAGCAACAGTCTGTACTCAAAGAATGAGGTCAGCTGACTACCTGAATATACTGAATGACCAGGTTATTCCATCAATGGACTGTTTCTTCCCTGATGGCACGGCCATATTCCAAGACAACAATGCCAGGAACCATGGGGCTCTTATTGTAAAAGAGTAGTTCAGGGAGCATGAGACATCATTTTCACACATGGAGTCCATTGAGAATCTTTGGGCTGGAGAAGGTTGGACTCTACAATCAATGTAAAATCTTGGTAAGGAATTAATGCAATGCTGGATGGAAATAAATTTTGTGACATTGCAGAAGCTTATCCAAACAATGCCAGTGCAGTAATCAAAGCTAAAGGCAGTCCAACCAAATACTAGAGTGTGTGATCTTTATTTTTTTTGGCCAGGCAGTGTATTTGGTACAAGTTAAACTATAAGTATTAAAGATAAAAGGTAGTTGTCATAAGGAAGCTCTAACGTACAGTATATGCTGCAGGTGGAAATTCCTTCTTTCTTTCATGATTAAAAACCAGACTGTTCTGCGTCATTAGCTTTGCTATTTTTGGCTGATGTAAGCAGTAAAGCCCCAGCTCAAGTGATAAATCTTCTCTGAGTAACATGAGCCTGATGTTATTAGAAACAGGTAGTCTGTTTGATATTAGAATTGTGATTTAGTTGTTTTTTTAATCAATGATTATTTGAAGATCACTGTCATTGGTGTTGCTTTATGCCATAAATGCTTATTTAAACCGAATCAGTTTAAGTTTGTTTCTAATAATTGTGAGATCTAATGCTGAATTAGATTAAAGAGGAGAAAATAATTTTTTGTGAGAACGTGTGTGTCTGAGAGGGAGAGAGAGTATTGTGTGTGTGGAAAAAAGGAATAAAAGAGCTATTGTGTGTAAGATGTATGCATTGGTATGGTCTTTGGGAAAATACATTACATGACTTGAAAGGAATGAGGCTTCGGGAAATTTCAGCTCTTTGCATAAGTGTTTCTTTCACTCCTGTTCTTAGTAGTCATTTTTCCACCTATGCGGTTTGGTTCGGCTCCACCCCATTCCGCATCCCTTTGTGTATTTCCACTGTGCCCGCTTTCGGCCCACTTTTTCAGACCTCCTCTCGAGGTAGTACTGAGGCTGGCACCGTTTGGGCGTGGAGGTGCCGAAGCATGTAGTAGTTACTATTGGCCAGTGGAGCTGCCTGGATGACGTAGTTTATTAAGAGCAAGATGAGATTTTCCAAATGATGGCAGCGAGCTGGGAGAAGCTAAAAATATATAGCCGGTTTTCAGAGCAGTGAAGAACCACAACGACAGCCGGAGTGGCTCAAAGCCTTTGGACTAGAGCTGCTTTGGGTAAATGGAGGGGATCGCTCTCTGCAGCCACCGTTCTGGCTGCTGCTAACTGTAGATGGACTCTTCACAAACTTCATCTGCAGACGGTAAGTGCTTCGTGCATTTAGTGAGAAATTGAACATAATTTATGGGACAAATGTCTCACTAGTCAAACTGTACCGTTTATTTATGAAGTTTGTTCTGATGTGTCCTTTGTGCATGTTCGTTTCCAATGCTAACTAGTTAGCAGCTAGCGGCTATCGCTAGTTAGTGATCCAGGCTAAAAACAACACTCCCAGCTCTACATTTATAGTAATTAGTAATTAATTTTAACCATATTGGAGGCTAATCGTTGGTTTTCTGTTCAGAGTCACCTTCGACTAGTGACCAGCAGAGCTCCTGGACCGTTTCTCCACCTTCTTCTACATTTATCGGTACAAGCTGCCTCTCTCTATCCGTGTCGAGGCAGCCACTGACTGGGCAGCTACAGGGGAGCTGCTCCAGTTACATTTGGACTTTAAAGTAGTTTTTTAGGTGGCTGTGTGGTTTTTTTAAATGTAGTTATATACTGTCTGACTTTTATTTTGTGAAATAAAGATACTATATGGGCATTGCTGTTTGTTTTTCATTGAGTTAAATCCATAAGGAAAAAACATATTTACTCACATTTCTAGGCATAAAGTGCGCAGTAACTGTAATTTCATTTATTATAAAATCATTTGGTTTTGTTTTACTGTATTTATAAGCAACGGTTTGCTGTAGCAGGGTATGAGTATTATTTACAGACTAAATATCAGACTTTTTATGTCAACAGTTAGCTTTAGCACAGAATGAGCAACGATAAACATCAGCTTCAGTGCGGCTAGTTTTATTATACCACCCACTTTTAAAAGACGTTACCGCCAGAGGTTGCACTACACTTATTTGCCGTCCGTCATTTTGACTGACACGGTAAAAAAAATCCGTCATCATTTTTACCCATCACTTTCTCTTTTAAATGATAATGACTAAACATTCATAGAATGTGGCTAGTGTCATGTTGGTTTTGCAGTTCTGCCTCAGATGCTGTGCCTGCAGGATTTTATTGAAGAAAATCTCATCATCGCACCTCAGAATACAGGCAACATGAGTGCGATGCGCACGGTGCTGAAAAACAGCGCATCTGACCCACACCAGGCCCAACACGCACAATGACGCTCACACACTGTCCCACTTTTGGCTCAGTTACTGTACGAAAAGTAATAATAATAATAATAATAATAATAATAATAATAATAAAAATATCTACAAATGTTATTTAATGGCTGCAGTTTGCAACATTAGATGTTTCCTTATTTCTGTCTCTGTCTCCCTTGCAGGAGGATGACAGCAAAGAGAAAGGCAGAGATGCAGTCATAATGCACCGCTGCCACCGTGTTAAAAATATTATTAAATAAAAACTGAAAATGAGTAGATTTGATTTATGCAATAAAATGTGTCTAAGGAAAATCTTATGTTACGCTCATCTGTGCCAGTCGTTCTGAAGTTTAAACCCACGCTCTGCTGTGACACTGTTGGAATAACAAGCATCACGTTCAGCCAAAGTTTTAAAATCAATAACATTTCTCAAGTCAAAGTGATCAGAAGTCAGCAAGTCTTTATTTCCAAGTCCCAAAGCTGTGGCAAGAGGAAATCCCGCAGCGTGCACTCCCGCAGCACCGCTGCTTCAACTGTGCCTCACAGACACTCCGATCCTCCTGTCCTCAATGTGCTGTCAGCTCCTGGAGATGCATTCAGTATGGTGTCTAGATCTGAGATTATGATCAGATGGGAATCTTTTATTTATTTTAGATTAAATAAGACCTCCAGGATGTAGACCTGCTCTGTACGTAAAGCTGAAAATGTCTCTGTGTGAAGGTGATGTCACAGAGCTGTCTTGTGAAGCCTCATTGATTTTTTTTCCCTCTGCCTCACCTGGCTTATTTATTAAGTCTTCCAGACTTGAGCCAGGAAACTTTAATAAGATGTGACACAGCGGGTTGATGATTGCACAATTTCAGCTCGTCTTTTCCTGACCGAGTATAAACGGGCTGAAGATGCGTGGGCCATAAATTATCATAAATCCTCCCTCGGCCCTCCCAACAGCTCATATAAAGTATAAAAACTACAATAACGATGGCTGGATAGTGTTTTTTCCACTCAACATCAGTGTTGAGTGAAGTAAAGCTGTTTTTTTATTGATTTATTTTTTGTTAACGGTGGATGGAAAAAAAAGACAACCAGCTGCGTGCTCACGTTCATCCTTGGGACCTGGATCAAACCAGCTGCTCTTTAAGCTCTTTTAAAAACTGGCTTCAGACAAAAATATCATTTTAAACAAAATAACACGCAGAAGGAATTGAGCTGCTCGGGGTCCTGTTCTGGTCCAGCTTCAACTCCTCGGCGCTGCCACAGCTGAGGACCACTGGCCCTCTGTGGTGCTCCTGATGAACAAACACACCCACAAACTCTGGTCCGATCACACACTGAGAGCCATAATGTCCCGTTGGCACAGTTCTGACTGGAGGCCATGCACGAGACGGCTGTCACCAGGGGATAGCAGCGGGAGAGCATACGGAAGTTGCGCAATTTTTTTTTTCAGCAGGGGGGGAAAGACGTGTGGTTCGAAGTATAAACCAGGTTTTAAGAGGTCAGGGGTGTTAATTGCAACCTGTCAAAATGACGAACGGCCTTCAGAATTTTCCGTCATTGTGTAAAAAAACCGGTCAAATACGGAAAATATGCCGTTAACGCGACCTTCACAGAGCAGGGACCCTAGTTACAGTGGAAAAACAACCAGACCCGAGAGAACCGCTCTGAACCGTTCATGGTTGGCTTCAAGATAATCTTTTGTCAATTAATGTTAAAAAAAACTGTGTGCATGTATTTTTCCTCACCCAGGAGACATTTCAATATAACAAATCAACTCACTTTTTTAAACGAATCCCTTGATATTGTCACTAAATATCTTGGTATTATTTTGGATTCTCATTCGACTTATCGTGATCATCTACAAGTCTTAACCACTAAGTTGAAACAGAAATTATACGTTTTTTCAAAAATTAGATCCAATCTGACATCTTCTATTTCAAATATCTATCTTCATGCCATTATACTCTCAACCATGTCGTACTGTTTACCTGTTTGGTCTCTTACAACAAAAACTTCCTGGTTGGACTCATCACTGTACAGTTCTTTCATTGTCTGATGCCTTGACTTTTCAGAATTATGT